AATCTTCAATTCCGTTCGGATTGTATAATACAGAACATATATTTTAAGGAAAACTAACGAAAAATTTTCAAAAAAATTTAGTTTTAATCAAAATAACAAAATAGAAATGTAAATAAATAGTATCATAAGTAACTTTTCAAGATAAAATTATTCTTAAAATTAAAAATAAATAACAACAGTAGCGTTCTATTAAGATTCCCTAGATTTTAATCAAAGTGTCAGCATCTTCACTTGTTGAAAACGTGTACCCCATGGTTCACACAAATGATGCGACCTTATTTCTTTCTTTTACGTCTTTGTCTTTGATTTCATGCTTTGAACCTCGCTACACGTTGTTACAGACGTCACAACACCACACAGGTGTCAGCCTAGCTCAAGTCAGCTAGGAGACAGACAGTCAAGGGTTCCCAGGAAACTGCCAATTTCCAAGACCTCAAAGCCTACCGCAGGCAATTTTTAAATGTTTGACGTTATTCATTTAAAGAGTATTGTTATTCATACCATATTTTTATATTATATTTTTATGTCATCTTAGGTGATTTCTAATGTGGACAGTCATATCATTTGAAAAATTTGTAAAACTCAAGGAAATGAAGGAGAATGACTCATCGTATACCACAATCATCATTTAATTAACTAGTTTTTCTTAATTATTAGTTTATTAAATAATAAACTAAATTTAAAAATATGATTAATTCAAATGATGTGGTTGTTCATATCAAATGCTACCAAGGTGGTATGAAAATGTGGTACAAAAACATGGTATGAATAACATTACTCTTTAATGAAATCAATTTTACCTTAAAAAAAAAGGTGAAACTTTTAAAATACCAAAACATATCTCTCTTTTCTTTAAATTTAAAGAATACAATTTAATTATAAAGGGACAGAATTGTAAAATTCAAATCAAAATTACCTCATCTGCTTCTTCATATGAAAAAGGTATAATTTTAAGGGCTTTCTCAAAGTGAGACTTTCCAAGTAATCTCTGACACCTCACGGTTTAAAGTTAATTCTATACCAATATAATAAAACATTGTGCTAAAAATATGAGGCATTAGAGAGTCTATAAAGAGCCTCACTTCTGATGGAGTATCCTTAACATTTATGATTTCTCTATTTTTTATTAACTAGTTTTAACATGTAATTCTAAAATGAAATGTCGTTCAATCATATGAACTTATTGAAGTCACTGCACAAAAAACAGCAATCGCCACAAAAGAATGTTACTACTTTTCCGTCGGTAGATATTAATTAGGACTGGAAACCGTGCCTAATACTCAAAAGGTCAGTTGAAGTGATATTAGCCATGGGGCTTTTGTGCGCATTCGTAAGGGAGCAATAGTACAGTTGTTCAGTGAGTATTGCTGTTCTTTTCACCAGCTCGTCATGTCTTAATCATTATCTAATTTTTGCAATGTTCAGGTAACAATGATGATTCATGAATCGCTGCACCTTTATCCCCCGACTGGTGTGGTATCAAGAGAGGTTTTCGCGGACATGAAATTTGGGGATATTATTGTTCGAAAGCGTGTCTATATTTGGACTGTGATACTGACGCAACATACTGATTGGGGAATTTGGGAACCAGATTCGTATACATTCAACCCGGAGAGATTTGCGGATGGAATATTACAGGTGCTTGCAAGCTTCCTCAGTTGTACATGCCGTTCGGGGTCGGACCACGAATGTGTATTAGACAGAAATTTGCTATGGTTGAACTCAAGGTTCTCATATCTCTCATATTGTCCAAGTTTCTCTTCTCACTTTCTCCAAATTACATACACAAACCTTCTCTTAGATTGGCTATAGAGGCAGAACATGGCGTTCGTCTTGTGAGAATGTGAGGTAAAATAGTCTCACATTGGTGAAAAGAGAAACATTGCAAAAGCTTATAAGAGGTTGGGCTACTCCCTATATTGCCAATTGGTTTTATGGTGGAACCTTAACTTTCTTCACGTTTTTTGTTCAAGAAGCTGTATAGAATAATGTCTAATCAATTTCCTTTTATGGACAATGAAAAAACAGATATTGCTCACTTTTTTTAACAAACAATAGTATGTATATTAAGGGGTGAGAGAGTAGGCTAAGCCTCACAATAGGCTAACAATAATGTGGTTTAAATTCGCATTCGATGAGAATCAAACCTAAGATCTCTCAGTTAATTACAAAATGAAGAGAAATATCTCTAGACTGTAGTACTAAGCAGTAGATGTTGCTCGTTTTAGCTTGTATTGTTTGTTCCCTTTTAATATTGTCACTATTACTATGACCTTGTGGTATTCATTGAGCTATAAGCCTCTAATTCCTTTATAATAATGACTTAAAACTAGTAGATGGGCAACAATATTGTAGATCACATCAACACACATTTCATACATTTATTGATCATCACAATTCATAATTTGCGTAATTCTTTGCATTTATTGTTAGTGTTGAATTTTGTTCAAAAAAAAAAAAAAAAAAAACATTCTTTGATTTTGTTTATTTTCAACACGGTTGATATTGACCAATTTTTTTATTCCAGACATTTCGTTGTTCATACTTTTATTGAGAAAGGTGTGTTTGCGGTTAGTTTTGGTAATCTGAGCATGTCTTCTTCATCTTTTGCGTGCTTTTTGCTAGTTTGCATTTGAGTTTCCTAATCTTGACTGGTTTTGATTTTCAAATTAATGGTTCTTGATTACTTCATTTTGCAAGGTTTTGGTTGATGATGTCCCAATTGTTGTTTTACTTTTTACCTTTCTATTTTCAATAACAAAAACATGAGGGAGCAGGGGGATTTTTTTGGCGTAATAGGCCTCGTTACATTCAGAGAGTGCCGCGCACAAAACTATTATTGAAGTATTATATTGTAATTCTACAGAGCATATAAAAAATGTAAGGGTAAAATACAAAAAACTACCTCAACTATTGGTGTCATGACACTTTCATACCTCATCTTTTAAAATTGATAATGTTATAGCTCATCTTTAGAATTTGGTCAAATGTTATACATTCCGTTACTTGGCCATTTACTTTTCAGTTAAATGTTGACGTAGCTTGATTCGAGAACCATTTTCTATTAAAAAATTAATAAAATATTATTAAAAACAAAATAAAAATTATTTAATATTTTTTTTAAATAATAAAGAAAAGTAAAAAAAAAAAAAAGAAGAAAAGAAAAATGTCCCTTTGTTCGTCCGTTCCCCCCTTCTCTCTCTCTCTCCCCATCTTCATCTTCTTCCCTTCTTAATCTTCAATAAAAAAAAAAAAAAATTTTGAAAACCCATCAATCCCCCCTGCGGAAGAAGTAGAAGGAGAAGGGGGAAGAAGAAGAGGAAAAAAAGGAGGAAGAAAAAAAAAAAAAAATTTTTGAAAACCCATCAATCCCCCCGCCCTGCGGAAGAAGAAGAAGGAGAAGGAGAAGGAGGAAGAAGAATTGGAATTTTTTTTTTTGGGGGTTTGCAGGTGGGGGAGAGAAGATGAAGATGGGGAGAAGAGAGACGAGGGAGGGGGAGGAACTTAGGGTTATTTTCTTTTCTTTTTTGTTTTTTGTTTTTACTTTTTATTATTATTTTAATATTTAAAAAATATTAAATAAATTTTTTTAGTTTTTAATAATATTGTAATGATTTTTTAATAGAAAATGAGCCCCGAATCAAGTAACGTCAGCATTTAACTGAAAATTAAACGGCCAAGTAACGGAAGGTATAACATTGGATCAAATTCTAAAGATGAGTATGACATTGTGAATTTTAAAAGATAAGGTATGAAAGTGTCGTGACACCAATAGTTGAAATAATTTTTTGTACTCTACCCAAAATGTAACTACAATAATTTTGTAGCCAAAATGATATTCTTAAAGTAGTTTTATTTACACACCCATTTTTATTCTATTCTTGTTTTTAAACCCGAACTTCAATTGCCCCTTTTCAGAAACACGTGGTCACAAGACAACAGGTGTTGTGGAGGATAGAGAAACATGCACCACGCCAGAAGATCAAAGCCTTCCTGTTCCTCATATTGAAGTTGAGATTCAGAAGAAAGAATGACTGGAGTGGAAGTTGTTTGACGTGATTTTTGCATGCCGAGCATCTCCAATAAAAATTTAAAGGAAATTTTTGTGTCCCTAAAAGAATATTGTCTTCAATAAGAGAGTTCTTATAGTAGAATTCTTAAATTTGATGTTTTTACAATTTTATGTGATTATTTGATTAGGTGTACATTTTTTTGTTTCTGTTAACATTTTTTGAATTAATTTAACATTACGTTCTCGTAAAATATTTTTGTGAAATTCCAACGGAAAAGTTCCTCTTCTCTCCTTCCGTGAGGGAGCTTATCTTCTTCTGTGAGAGTTCTTTCCTTCCTTTTGGTAAGGGTTTCAGTTGCCTTTTCTCAGTTTCTCCAATGGCACCGGCCCTAGCTTCGGCTGGGGTCAGTTGCCGTGTCCTCTTTCCTCTCTTCTCCTTCTTTTCTCTTTGCCTCTACTGATGTTTCTCCCTATTTTTCTCTCCGGCATGTTTGTCCCGTCGGTATACCTCTTTCCATCTCTTCCTTGGTCCAATCTTCAATCATATTTCCTGTTGAGTTCGTGTATAGAGTTTCGGTATTTTTACCGGCTCGGGTGTTTCCACCACCACCACGTTCTCCTTGCTGTCTGTTGTTTCTGGTAGTGTTGCTCGCGGGTTTTCACGTGCTTCCTACTTGTAGTTGGCTAATCCTTCTTTGTTGCCAACTATCTCTTGTTAATGACTGTGATCGGGTTGTTGTTCAGGGTCAGAGGTGGTGTTTGTGGAGGCGGTTCTCGGCGGTGGATGACGTTTCAGTTGGTTGGCCTGGATTTCTATCGGTGGAGAAGATTTCAATGGAAGCTTCACGACTGCTGTGTGTTTTTTTGGGCTTCACTGTTGTTGGGTCCTCTTTATGTTTTTGTGTTGGTTTAGGCCCTAGGTGTAAATTAAGCCTTTGGTTTGCTTGTAAATTTGGGTTTGCTGAAAGTTTCACCTTGACCAAAAATGAAACAAATATGCATATATTATTTGAGAAAACAAAGTTAAAACATATAGACTTAAACAAGTGAGCAAACTAAAACCCTAACAGAAATAATAAGTTGCTCATTATCTTTTATAAGTTCACAGCTTCCTCACTAGGAGATCGACTCCATGCTCAGGCTCTATAACCAATCTAAGAGCAGGTCCATGTCTGTACTTGGGAGAGAGTGAGAAGGAGAAGTTGGAAACTAAAAGAGCTATTAGAATCTTGAGTTCAACCATGGCCAAGTTCTGTCCAAGACACACTCGGGGTCCCATCCCAAATGGCATGTACAAGTGTGGAAGCTTGCAAGCGCCTGCAACCCCATTTGCAAACCTATCTGGGTTGAACATATAGGCATCTGGGCCCCATATTTCTGGATCAGTGTGTAAGGTTGCCACTGTGGTCCAAACATTGACACCCTTCGGGATGTTAATGTCCCCAAATTTCATGTCCTTAAAGGCCTCCCTTGATACCACGGCAACTGGTGGATATAGGCGCAGTGATTCATGAATCACCATATTTAGCTGCACAGAGTTAAATGGGTTAATCAGTTTTGCATGGTAACACTAAGAAGTGCATATATATTGAGTCATTGACTACACATATAGTTAAAAGTTAATCATCACTGTTAGCTGCACAGATTTAAAAAGTTAATCAAGTTAATATAATCATTATTCACAAACTAACGATTAAAAGAAATTTGATAATATGTCACATATATTGAGTACAAATAGTTAACTAATAATTATTAATTACTCTTGAAAACTGATTACAATAAAAGGGGCACGAGTTACAAAGCACTCGTGGTGTTTATTAAGGTTGCTATACAAAAAAACGTGATAAATTACAAAAGTGTGACTTGTTCTGTATTAGCACACTTTTTGCATCACTTTTTACCTTTTGTTGTGCTTTTTGTATTGGCTACCCCCAACAGCAACAATTAAGTTTTCTTAGAGGTTGTTTCCCATTTTTCCTCTGTGGTTTTTTCCCATTTTTCCTGTAGTGGCTATATCTTAATCATGTAAAAAACCATACCTGTTTCATCTTACGAATCATATTAGTATCCAGAATACAGCCTTGGCAAACTTGAAGGGCCTCTGTTCTCACACGTTCTTGCCATTTTGGGTTTGAAGCCAACAACATGAGACACCAAGTGGCGGAGACCGCCGTGGTCTCATAGCCGGCCAAGTATATGTTTTTGCAGTTATCAACAATGAATCGGTTTGTAGCCTCTTGGCTGAGGTCACTGTTTATAGCACCCTCAAGAATCATTTGCAATAGGTCTTTCTCATATCCTGCTGCCTGCCTTTCCTTCACTACTTGAAGTATTAAAGTGCTGGCCTCCTTTTCCAATGCCCAAGCTTCCCTGTTGCTCTTTGTGGGAAGATGTCTTCAAAAGTATAGCAATTATTTAAGATTATGGGAACTAAATGCACTAATTTTAAGATCAATATAATGTTACACGTATGGCAATGCTTAAGGGATCTGCGGTAGCACTTTAACAAAATGCTTAGGGTGACTACATCTAGGACTATTGAAGGCCTCGTTTTGTATTGGTTTTTTCACCAAAAGATGTTTAGATTATTTAAACAACAATGGTCTCCAAACAACAATTTCTGTTTTCATAAGAAGCGGAACTGAGTCTTTAATAAACCTTATCAATTCCCATAACACTGTAATTAGGTTTTTAAAAAGACATTGTCTACCCTTGTCTTGTATAAAGCTATAGCTACCTTCTTTAAAATTAAGGACTAACGAATTGAATATTATATTACGAAAAAAATTGAAACTCGGATATGATTATGTAAATACTATTTGTTTGTTCAATTACTAAACTCTACTTTCCAAACTAATAACACTTCAATTTGCTCTAATAAATATAATTATGTAAATAAAAAAACCCAACGCGAAGTACCTCATCCCAGGAACTCCGGTGGAAAAGACTTTCTTGGACATAGCCTCCTCGAGATTTCTTAGTTTATGAAATATGTCTTCCCCTTTGCAATAGTTGCTTCCAAAACAAGCTCTTGAGATAACATCACCAGAGAAGCTTCTCATGTAGCTGTCAATTTTTATCTCAGCAATTCCTCCTTCAGCTGTCTCAATTTTACTGTTCCAAGAATTTACCAGAGTAGTTGTAGACTCTGTGATTAGGTTAATCATTCCCTGCACGATCAGTTACCACAACTCAATCACAAGATAACGATCATTTCTGCATGGTGATATTAATTTTCCATGATTATTATGTAATTATAGAAATACCTTGACTTTGTCCATGGATAGTTCAGGAGCAATCACTTTGCGTTGGTGAACCCATGAGGGGCCATTTGAGGTTAAAATACCTTGACCTAGCAGAGGACCTCGCTCTTTAAATTGATATGTTGGCTTCCCCAAGTCTAAGGACGTGCATGTTGTTATCTCTCGTACTACATCTGGTTGGTTCACACACAATATTTGTGTGTTGCCAAGTGCAAACGCAAATACTTCACCTGCGGATAATTAATTTAACATCGAGTGAGACAGAAATAAACAAGGGTGTAGAAAATGGATGTGAAAAAAAATCATTTTTCACTACTGAAAATATGACTTTAACTCTTTAAATTCAATTTTCTCCATAGAAAACCCTGGCATAATATTCTACTTCTTTTAATTTGGCATAAATTTAGGAATTTGGAAAAATGGCATGGATGTAAATAAATTGTATTAGTAGGTTAATATTGTTCCAATGTGAGTCCAGAATTTAAATTTGAGCTTTTATTGAACATTAAGAAATAGATGAGTTTTTATCTAGAAATCATAAGCGTGAGAGCCAAAATCTAAAGTACCCTTTCCAATAAAGAAGGTAATTAACTGTATGCAAGTCAAAGCCTTTGGCCCAACTAGGTCTGTTTCCCAAAGCGAAAAGTTTACATATGGGGTGTGATATCCACACATCTCATTTTACTTCTCACACACTTTTTTAATTTTCGCCCGTCGGATCGGATGAATTGAAGAAGATGACTGGACAAAAATTATCAAAGGGTGTGTAAGAAGTAAAATATGGTATGTGGACAGCACAACCCTTTACATATTCCTAGCCAGTAAAAGGTTGTTTTACATGATTGTCTAGTTGTGTTGTGTTAACTAAGATTTTGTAACAAGAAATGCTATGGGACTTTCTCAAAAGTGGCTCTTTATGAATTTTCTGTTATTTCACAGTTTAACGTCAATTTACGTGTCAATAATTATAAAATATTATTGATTATTAGATTATCACTTAATTATTGATTAACGTGCTTATTTCTTATTAACGACACATTATTTAGTTTAAAATTTTAGTCTCTCTAGCATTATCCTTGTGAAAAACATAAGGTGCCAATAAGTCCCTCTAGCATTTCTCGTAAGTAACATAATGTATGTACGTATATTTTGCTAAAAAAATGCGTGTATGTGGTGTATGCATATGAAGAAAAACACTTTCCTATACGGAGATGGTATGTATCCCTTTATATTTTTGAAACGTAATGAGTAAGAAAGAAATATAAGGGATATATAGGTCCCGTTACATGTAAATGCTCCTCCTATATGTGTTGAGGAGATCATGGTCATAAACATGGTATACTCTATATAAATGTACGTAGGCATACCATATTGTTTCCTCCACTTATCAAAAAATGGAAAGACAAGAGCAGCGCAATTGTGGGAGCTGGGGATTAATCCACTGGTAGGATTGCTGGAGCCTCGAGCCTTCTTTATCTCCATAATATTTCCCAGAAGAAGTGTAGGTGGAGGTCCATTGATGCCTTGCTTAGTTAGCAAGGACCTCAGCCTCTTCGGCTTCGCAACAAGCCTATCATACCACCGCACAAACAACCCTACAAACCCTAGAAACACAAGGGACATCAACATTTTCGCATCAAACTGAAGAAGCTCCATAAGAAAAACTTGCCAACTCTCACATGCAATAGGAGACCGTAGGTTAATTTTATTTTCTTGGTAGTTAGCAGATTGCCCATGTATATAGGGAAGAAGGTAGGCCACTAAATTTGGCAGGCATAATTTCTTCTAGGACGGGGGGCGGGGGGGGGGGGGGGGGGGGGGGGGGTGGTGGGGTGTGGACGGCGGGGGCGGTGGTGGTGGGGTTGTGTTGGGGTTTGGGTGGTGGTGGGGTTGTGTTGGGGTTTGGTTTAGAAATAAGAAATAAGCACGTAAATGAACGCTTAAATAATAATTTAATAATTAACTTCGATGTTATTTAGTTTATAAATTTAGTTTCCCTAGCGATACTCTTAAAATTTTTAGTCAAAGGGAAAATTTGAGGTTGCAGCAGTCGGTCCTGTGGGTTCCACTTAGAACTTAGCTCGAGTATGTATGTTCAAATTTGGGAATAAAAAATCATATATATCAGTACACCGCTCCGCAAGAAGAGCGAATGAACATATATCAACATATGAATTAATAACTACGTGCTCTCTCGTTCTCTTTTCAATATTTCTAGTTTCTAGTGAGTTTTTTTATCGTGTTTGTTGTTCAATTCGAAAATATAAGTCATAAAAGAAAAGAGCATTCCACTTATCCTTATTGTGGTTTTCTAATTTTATTTATATTAAAATACATGCACGCCCACTCAGTACTACGGTTTGGTGGTATTCATCTTCACTTGGAAGTAAAAGGTCTTAGATTCGAATCTCGTGGATGGCGAATTCGACACCAAATTAGGTTACCCATTGTGTGGCTTAGCCGAATTCTCTCTCCTCTTAGTGTAAAAATATCGATGTATTCAAAAAAAAAAAAACATATATATATGCATTTATTTATACATACCATATTTGTACTATCTCTTTAATAAAAATAGAACCTAAATGTGTTGGTGCATGAAGCAAATGTAACATGCCAAATCTTCAATCCCGTTCAGATCGTATATACAAAACATAGTTTTTAGTCAAAGTGTTAGGTATCTCCACCTAATGTTGGTTGCCAATATGTACCCAATTGTTCCCGCAAATTATGGGACCTTAATTCTTAGTTATACGACTTTCTCTTTGATTTCATGTGTTGAACCTCACTATCCAATGTTACAGATTATAGTATCATAGCCGACTTTGATCATATCTGGCGAGCTAGGTTCACACTTTTGTGTATATATGAGCACATGGGTGTCGTGTTGTGAAAGGAGATAGACAGTCAAGCTCTCCCATGAAACTGCCAATTATGTATTCACATGTTATCACTTGCCTCCAAGACCTCAAAGCCAAAATGTTTTTGATATACCTCCCGCAGACATTTTCAAAATGTTTATAAAGCGTTCATATATAAAGTCAGAAAGAACTGGGTGAAACTTTTATAATACCAAAAACTATCCTCTTTTTTTCTTTAAATTGTTTGAGAATGCAATTTAATTACGATGGGACAAAATTTTAAAATTCAAATCAAAATGATTCCTTGCTTCTGAAGATGAAACAGGTATATACTTTTTAGATTAATACTAAGAAGACTCTCTTAAAATATGACTTTTTATAGCCTTTCTGTCATATCACAATTTAACGTTAATTTTCGTGTCAACATTGTAAGACATTGTGCCATAAACATGAGCGACAGAAAGTTCATAGCGAGTTGCACTTTTGATAGAATCTCTTTAGTATTTCTTTATTTTTTTATTAAGTAGTTAGAACATGTAGTTCCAAAATGTCATGTCATTCAATTATATGAACTTATCGAAGTCATTGCACAAAAAACAGCAATCGCCACGAAAAAATGGTACTACTTTTCCGTAGGTGGATGTTAAGTAGGGCAGGAAACTGTGCCTAACAAATAAAAACTCAGTTAAAGTGACATTAGCCACGGTCACTACTAGAATTCTATCTATAGAACACACTTTTTTACACACTAGGAAATATCAGTGCCTTCCTCACTTTGTATTCACTGACATATATTATCCGTGGCCATTGGTACGCGGACACGGAAAAACAGTGTGGCTAGCCAAATTATAATTTTTCAATTGAATTTTTACATATTTTACATATTATTTTGGTGGCAACTTGCAATTTTCTGCATCGAAGTTTGTGCACTGTTGCTAACTTTTACTATACAAATATTGTTTTATTCTTTTGCTTTATTTTTCCAAGTATCCTTCAAGGTTTTTTCTTTTCAATATTTTTTTCTTTATTTTTTAGGGGAAGAGTCATGGTCAAATTCTTCTTTCTTTTTCCTCTTTATTATATTCAAAATATTAAATAATATATTTAACCAGAGTTACCAAATGAACATGTGTCATTTTTTGGAACGGGTAGCATACCAGGGTTAAACCGGCTAGCAAAAGTGCTCCTTTTTTTTATTTTTTTGAACAAGCAAAAATGCTCCTATTTATTCACCCATACATGGTTTCACGGTCACCGACTCACCTCCTCTCTTTCCCTTTGCTGATAAAATCTTGCAATTATCTCTCTCACTCGCTCTTTTCGAGGAATTTTTAATTACGACATAAATATGAATGATACATCATTTATTTTTATGTAGATGGTGAGAAATTTTATTTTTTAAATTATTAATTTTTTAACACATATATTTCATAATTTATATAAAAACACATGATTTACCATCATATATGATGATCACATTGAAAAATCTCTCGCTCTCTTCCACTCACCTCCTATCTTCCCCTTTGATAAAAGCCTGCAGTTATGTATCTCTCTGACTCGCTCTCTCCCTCGCGAATGGTCTATTTCACCTCTCTCTCTCTCTCTCTTCTCTTTGTATCAGATACGAGTTTTTTTTTCCTGATCTGAGTTCATATTTTCTAAGATCTAAATTGTATATTTTCAGATCTGGCATGGGTGTTAATGGATTAGAGTTCTGATTTTTTTTTTTTTTTTTTTTTTTGTGTTTTGTTTTTGTTATTGTTAATTCTTGTCTCCTGCATGCAACGTTTTTGTTAATTCTTACTATGGATTGTTGTTCCGCAGTGGAAGTGTTGAGTACAACAAGGTTTTGCAGTGAGGATGATGCACATAGAGGTATAATAATTATTCCCCCTTTCTCTGTGTTCATTTTTATGCTGAATAAAAATTTCATTTTCGTTGCTCTTGTAAGTAATTTCTTATGTTTATTTGTGGGTTTTATGCGTTGTTACCTTTTTTGCAGAACGAAAAGAGCGCTAAAGATGGTTTAACAATCAGACCTAAATGATTTATTCAGGCATGAAGTTCTGATGGATATAGATTTTAATTAGTGTTAGTTGTTTTATTATTTCAACTTAGTTGATCAATGTGCTAGTATCTTACAAGTTTTTTTTTTCAATTTAAATTTTGCATTGTATGCCAATAGGTTGTTCAAGAACACAGCCGATGGAAGATGAATGGAAGCATATTCTTGATCTGGAGGATTTGATTGCAAGTTTGTCTTGAAGGACTTGTTCGCAAAAAGATTAAATTTTATCCAAAGCACGTGACATTAATAATGGTATTAGACCATAGAATGGGTGCTCAGGGGGCTTCCCTTTTTTAAAACCATAAATAGCAATTTGGACACCGATAAAAAGATATTTTCTTTGACACAATCTTTACTTACCATTTTTAATAATAAATAATAAATAAAAAGATTGAATTTATGGGACTTGTACTATTCCTTTGGACACTGATAGAGAATGGTGGTGTTTGTCACGGTAGAAATCTTTACATGGGACGTGGTCTCTTATTTAGTGGCTGTTCGGTGGCAATTGATAGTTGCCACCGAAGCCAATGCCCATTCTCCATAATAGACACCAATGAAAAAGGTGTCCTATAACCAAAATTCTAATAGTGGGTACTTTTGTCTATGCATTAGTAAGGGAGAAATAGTACAGTTTCTCTATGAATATTGTTGTTTCTCCAGCTCGTCATGTCTAAATCATTATCTAATTTTTGCAATGTTCCGCTAACAATGGTGATTCATGAATCGATGCGCCTTTATCCCTCGACTATTGTAGCATCAAGGGAGGCTTTTGCGGACGTGAAATGTGGGGACATTATCGTTCGAAAGGGTGTCAATGTTTGGACATTATTTTTATACATTCAACCCGGAGAGAATTGCGAATGGAATTGCAGGTGTTTGCAAGCTTCCTCGGTTGTACATGCCGTTGGAGCCTTGAGCCTTTACTTGCTTCTAAAGCAACCTTGTTGCTTGATCTGGCCGAGGAGGCAGGGCCAGCCCTCAGATCTTGGGAATCCTAGGCGAGCCTCTAAGAGGGTGCCCTTGAGTTTTCAAGTCCTCCAATGTGTCACACATTTATTTAGTTTTTTACTTTTGTTTTTTGAAACAAACATAATAAAAGAGAAAAAAACCTCTAGGAAATCTAATACACTAGGAGTCTCAAGTCAAATTAAACAGTTTGATGAGCACAAGTTGGTCACGACAAAAAAAAAAAATGAAATACATAATCAACTCAGAAACTTATAACTACATCAAAACATCACACTATCAAGATTCCTTCCTAATTTTTTCAATAGATAACTAAGTCACTCAATCTCTATAGAAGGCATAACACTATTTGATCAACTTCAAATAAAAACTAAATTCATAGTTTAAAAATTAGATTACCTAGAATTCCAATATTCTAAATTTTGAGATAATTAATTTACAAATCTATTGAGACAGTGATGTGAAGATGGAGTTGTAAGGGAAGGCTCAAAGAAATACCAAACCCTAGGCCTCAATACAATGTTTGACAAAAAAAAAAAAAAAGGAAGGCTTCAATAGAATAGCTTACTTTCTTAATTTTTTTATGTGCAATTTTATTGATGAAAGGATTATAATTATAGAATGGATGGACTAAACTAGGGCAGATAATTTATTGCACGACCGGTTAAATTTTAATCCAACATAAATGACATGAAAAATAATAAGTTTCGGATCAACATGTTAACGAGTTGAGTAGTTATAAGGTTACCCGTTAATGTGTCAGGACGTTATCAGGTCATCCGATAAGATATTGTTTTTTCTTACCAGGTCACAATAATTAATGTAACATTACTATAGATACAACTCGTTCTCTTCTTTTGATTTATTTATTGCAATAGGGCATGTCGATGTGTTTGCAAAATATGAATCGCTAATTTCTTGAAACTCAAGAACAATTAATATAGACACCCCTAACCCATATCATAAGTGTCACTATTATTACGGTCTAGTGTTATTTACATATTTACTATTTCTCTTTAATTATAACTTTATAAATAAAAAGTCTCAAATTTGAATCACTTGAATGACAAGTTTGATTCCTAAATATTATGATTAGCCCCATTAATTGTATGGTTGAGCCCAAATGCCCACTTTTTGGTGTAGAATATCTTTGAATCAATATTAAATGTAAAAAAACTATATAGTCTAGGAAGAATGATAAATATTACAAATTTATAACAATTTATCATTTATACTATATTGGGAGAGATATTTGAGCAAACATTGAGTTTTAGAACAAATACTTTCAATCACTTCAGTTAGGCCTTTAATTACTTTATAACAATATCTTAAAACTAGTAGTCATTTCAGATCACATCAACACAGAATAAATGCTTGACACATTTTCATACATTTATTGGCCATCACAGTTCATAATTTGCGTAATTCTTTACAATTATTATTGGTGTTGATTTTGTTCATTTTCAACACGGTTGACATCGACTTTTTTTTTTTTTTTTTTTAATTTTTTATTTTGATCCTGACTTTTTTTTGTTCCTACATTTATTGAGAAAGGTGTGTTTGCGGATTGTTTTGGTAAATCTAAGCTTGTCTTCTTCATCTTAGGCGTGCTTTTGCTAGTTCGCATTTGAATTTCTAATCTTGACGGGTTTCTGATTTTCAAATTAATGGTTCTTTATTACTTCATTTTGCAAGGTTTTGGTAAATGATGTCCCAATTGTTGTTTTATCCTTACCTTTCTATTCTCAATGACACAAATTTACACGAGGGACCAGGGGGATCTTTTTGGTATAATAGGTCTCCCTGCATTTAGAGATGTAGGTGCTTCGCATACAACTATTATCGAAGAATTATTTTGTTCTGCAGTTTAATATATAAAAAAATGTAACTACAAAGAAATTTCTAGTCCAAATATATGATATTCTTAGAGTAGTGTTATCCACACACTCGTTTTTAATTTTTACACACCCTCTAAATTTTCGACTGTCATATAAAATAAACTGAAAAAGATTACTGGCAAAAAATTAGCAAGAGAGTATGAAAAATAAAAATAGGCCAATGTGAATAACACCATCATATTCTTTTTCTTTCACCCGAACTTCAATTACCCCTTTCCAGAAACACGTGGCCACAAGACAAGGGGTGTTGTGGAGGGTAGAGAAACATGCACCACGCCAGAAGATCAAAGCCTTCCTGTTCCTCATATTTAAGTTGGGATTCAGAAGAAAGAATGAGTGGAATGGAGGTTGTTTGACGTGATTTTTGCATGCAATTCGTAATCTGTTTTGTTGGTGACATGCATTGCAGGTTAAGTGATTAAGAGAGTGATTAATGTAATTACAATTTACATGCATACAAACATTAAACGTACACATAAAATGTTGGATCCGGTGGACGTGGATATTGCAGATTCTGAATTTCTCACCAACCAATCAGATCCAGATGACTCTTCCGACTCCGACATTGATAATTACTGCTTGGCTTTTACATGCAAGAACCGATTGTTTGGTCGCCAGAAGCCTCTTCATGTTGTCCTCGGCGCTGGTGTATGTACGTAAGCTGTAATTGTAAATGTTTTTTTCTTCTGCTTGCTGTAAATTTCATGCTTTTATTAACCTTAAAGTGAAATTAATTAATTCTTTCAGCTGCTGATATTATACTTTGGAGAAACAAGCAGATCTCAGCCTACATTTTTATGGGTGCAACACTCACATGGCTTCTCTTTGAGAGATTAGGATATAATTTGGTTGTGTTTCTTTGCCATGCTTCATTGCTTTCCTTGACAGCCTTGTTCTTGTGGTCCAACTTTGGTTCCTTCATCCATGTGTGAGCTCCTTAATTTTGTCTAATTTAATTTTTGTTTAGGCTAATATGCACAAAAAAAACAAACGGTTAATTACAAACTATAAAAAATAGAGCTCGGAAGACACTGAACACACAATACGCTGTGCATTAACCACGTTTTAATGCCCCTTTATTGTATATTTAGGGTTCCTCTAGTTTTATGAATTTATAAGCGCCTTAGTGGTTCTTCTATCTGCCCATATTTCCTTTTTTTTAAAGGAAAACTAATGAAAAGGGCTTGAAAATTTTTAGTTTTAACGATAAGAACGAAATAAAGGGTAAAGTGAGTAGTACTAGGATTGACTTTTTAGTGTAAAAATGTGGTTTTTCGTTAAAGTGAACAGTACCGAGAGCTTTTCGTTAAGGTTCCCTTTTTTTAATTGGTTTTTTCATGTGTCTGTGTTATGATTTCTGGATAGAATATGATGATGAAACAGGTCTGCACCAGAAATTCCAGAGATTGTAGTACCACAGCACCTGTTTATGAGGACTGCTATTTCCTTGACAACTACATATAATCAAGCGTTAAGATCATTTGGGCATGTAGTTTTTGGGAGAGACATAAGAGATTTCCTCGCGGTACCAACATTTTTTCATACACCTCTAGGTTTTGTTTATGCTGCAAGAATAGTAGGTTTTGATTGAACATGAAACTTTAACGTGATGAACTCGTTTGCAGGTGGCGTCGACTTTGTGGGTTCTCTCTGTCATCGGAAGTCGGTGCACTTTCTTAAGCTTTCTTTACTTAGGTTTAAATCAGCTCCAACTGTTTCGTCTCTGCCATAGAGCTTTTAGTCCTTGGAAATCTCTATGATCAACATTTACAAACGTTGATGTTGTTTGCAATGTTTACATGAGATTCCTCTTTCTTATTCTTAAAGAAGTTCCTGAGAGGCCTTTGTTGATCCACGATTCATGTTTCGACTAATTGTTATAAATAACATCTTGTTCTTGCATCGAAAACTATAAATGTCGACTAATCTACTAACATTGCATTTTGTAAAATGAAAAGTATCATTCGACTAATAGCTAATTGGTCGTTGTCTGCTAATTATGTTACCAAGACGAGTACTGAATTTTTCGTTTTGGTTGGTCAGTGTTTGTCATACTGATGATAGTGCCGCGTTGTACGATAATCTTGAGGATAGCGTGGACAGCATTGCAGAGAAAGCGCTGATTGTAATAAAGAAGCAGTATGCAGTGTTGGATGAAACAGTCCTTCAGAAACTCAGAAAGAAAGTAATTTCTAACAAGAACAGAAAGCAACCAAAATTATTTGCCTGCCTGACTATTTTTGAAGTTCTGCTGGACTCTTCCTCTTCATATAGTCGGTACAGTTCATATTCCGTTCTTGCTGGTTTTGTTCCCTCGGGTTTTTTCTGATCAAGGCTGTAATGATGATGTAGAAAATATGTTGCTTTCTATGTGTTTCACTAGTAGTCTTGTTTAATTAGTTTTCCTCGAGGAGTATTGATCAAGAAAAGTAATCATTCATCTTCCTTGCTCGATTGAAGAAAATGTATTCGTTCATATTTCGGTTTTCTGATGTGAATGCAATGTCGAAAGCTATTACATTAATCGCGCATCACACAAGCAAATTTCTTCATCCTTTTGGACAGACAACTTCTTCAATACTCTCTTCACACATTAATAGGCAACTACACAAGTTTATTACATGAGGTGCTAACCTTGCAAAACATCACATTACCTACATGCATCAACTTCAGCTCTAGTTAGTAACAGATGACGAAATCCACGTTGAGAAAGAAAAAAAGTGATTTACGCTTTGCTCCCCTCTTTCGTTCTTGGCGGCAAGAAGGACCCCCACCACCCGGATTCATACTTGGAATAAGGTGCTACCCATTTCTGTGGCTTCTCAAACTCGATAGTGGTTGGATTGGAGGCTAACGCTTCTTCTAGACTCTCGGCTTCAAAACTTTCTGCTAACACTCTGTCCAGTCTCAGCTTCATAAACCTGCAGCCGCAAAACATGATCAGATTCAGAGACATTGCCCCCATTGTAAGGGTCACAACTTTCATATTTCTACTTATGTACAAACACATGAAGATATTTCTTATATCGAAACATCAGGTCATGTAGTTTGTTTAGCTGAGGAGTTGTTGCTAGCATATTTAAGGGTGTAAGTATACGCTTCAATCATGTAGAATCTCATCTTTACATGGTTGTTAGCTTGGTCGACAATGTAATCCTTCTCAAGGACTTCGACTTTCGAGGATTATTGGTTTTCTAAAATCATATCGTAGCTCTAGTTGCAGGAGATACTGGATTCAAACATCACTCTAAACCCCCTTTCCACCACTTATTTCTAAACTTAAAAGATGCAAGGTGAAGATGCACATGTATGAATATCTACATCCACCTCTCCACGCGCAGGATAAGGCTGCAAACTAGAGACAGTGTTAGCTAGATACACAATTCTCGACTCATCTTCAACAACTTAAACTTTCGGATTCTTGCAGTTGTCCGCGTTCTACCATAAAGATCGATCGAATCTAGAAACTTAGCATCATCAAACTTTGTCACAAGAGAATTGGACACTAACACACAACAGAAATTCCCAATTGAACTTCTGATTCTGCTACATCACTACTTAACTAACAAAACATATGAATCTGAAACAAAACAGCAGTCAGAAAACAACAAATTGCAACCGAGCAAGTTCGCAATCAAAAACTTACGTAATCCAAGGACCGTTGGTCGAAACCAGAGCCACGGCAGGCCTTCCTAATCTCTTAGTAATGTTAGGAAACTTATCCAAGAACTTAGGCTCGATCACAAGCCAAAAGTCCTGCTCTTTGTTCTTCTCTCCATAGTATCGAAGCCTCTCACACAACTGCTCCTGGAAATGCTCCTCGTCATCGAGCATAAACTTCGCATTTGCAACCACGAAATAGTACCTGCTCGGCTTTTCCTGCATTCAGAAACAAAAAGTTTCAAAATTTACAGTCTTGGATGAGAAAATGAAAAATTAAAAGGAAAACTTTTTATGGGTTGAAGAGAGAATTGGACCTTGTCAGCGGAGTCGGAGGAGCTGAGCTGGTCGGATTCAACGGCGGCAACGAATGTGCGGACGGAGGAGGAGGATTTGAGGGTGGTTTTGGGATTGAAGGAGAAGAAGTGACCGCAGCTGGAATTGGCGGAGAGAGGAAGAGCTAAAGATTTGGGCTTTGGGTTTTGGATATGGGAAATGGCGGTGTTTGATTTCGGCTTCACGACGGCGGCAGCCCAGCATGCCTGACTGAGAGTTGTCATGGCTGACATTTCTCCTTCTGGTTCTTCTTCTTCAGCTGTGTCTTCCTTGCTTCGATATAACAAGCTGAGCCAGCCTTATCCAGTGTTTATCTACATTACTTATCTTTTTCCTGATACAAATACATATTATATATGTTTTTTACTTTCAAGAAAATTAGACATAGGAAGCAACTTATATGGTATATAGACACCGCTATTGTAATGTTTCATCTTAATAATATAACGTTGTGCGAACAAAAAAAAAACATAGGCCTAAAGGGAAAGTTGAAACCTAAAACGAATTGTGGTGCAATCCGTATATACTTCACACATATTTTTTATTAATTTCTGTTCATTTGATTTTCTCTGATTATTTGATCCGACACTGTAGTACCTTGAGAATTTGAAGGCTCTAGACAAACCTTCGAAGCGGGACTCTAAAATAAATTTGTGTGTTTATGATTTGATGTTTGTTGAGGAAATGCGACAAACACAAAAGAGTTTAGCCGTTTAGGTTAGATGTATGATAATCTGTAGTATGACAAAAGGAGTAAACAAGTTTATTTTTCAGTCAATAAAGACATACTTGAGTCGTTTAACATTTTACGTTTTAGGAAACGAAAATTTCTAATTCTTGAGATTCTAACATTCGAGGAATATTAAAAATAAAATAAAATAAAATAAAAACTGTTTGGCAAGTTAAAAAATAAAAATAAAAAATAAAAAATAAAAAATAAAGAAAAGCATTAGCTCACCTCAATAGCGTAAAATTCTATTCCCAACGGTGCCTTCCACTGTCAGATCTCTCATTACACGATCGTCCTCCGTCGCCAGAACCGCCTTCCTTCGTCCTTCCTACTTCTCCACCCCCGCCAAGAAACCACCAATTCCAGCCCTTTCCTTTTCCTTAACCTCCGCCGCCGGCACCATTCATTATATTTTGTTTATAAAACGCAGACAGATGGCTTCGGAGAGCTTCAAGTTCGGGCCGTACAATATCGACAGGAGGGAAGTGTTCTACTCCACCAAGCTATCCTACGCCCTGGTTAACATGCGCCCTCTTGTTCCTGGTACTTTTCTCTTACTCTTAACACTGAATAATCAAAGCATGAAAATTGGATGTAGAAATTGCAAATTTGATGACCCAATTCTCCTTTTTCTTTGCAGGTCATATCCTTTTGTTTGCTTTGAAATTAAATTTTGTGTTGGGATCGGTGAATAAATGCATTGTTAATATGTTATATAAGAAAAAAAAAAGTTCGGAAATTTTCTGTTTTTAGTGGCAATAGCCGTAGTGGGTTAAATAGTTAGTTCGAACCAGCACCAGTTGCATAGGTATGATTATTGTTCGCCACTACGGTAAAGAGCTATCTGCGGGAAATTTCCTTGTTTTTGTGCCCTTTTTCTTGCTTGGAGAATTAAGGCAGTATATGAGTTTTATTACTGATTGATTGGATCATGCTAGTGAGTAATGAATATGGATGTCAAAGGAAAGGGTGTTGGTTTTTCGTTCTGGACTCGAAAAGGAAGAGTCTTTTATCCAGCTTGATTTTGGGTCCGAAAATGTTTTCTGTGGCACCAAAATGTAAGCAGCAGATGGTAGATTCAGCTGGTTGCAATGCTTGAGTCTTAAGAACATGCTACTAAGTGCATCCCTTTTTTTTAGTAGATATTGACTGGTCTCTTTCGGACCACGACTCTGTATATAGTTTATCATGGACTGATATGTGTGCCTTACTTCCTTTCTCATCTGCATGTGTTGAAAGACACCGGCAGAAGGATGACCAAGCATTGTGTGTAACTGTGCGTGCAAATTATACCCATTTTATTGTGGAATTATAATATGCTCGATTCAATCTTGCTTGACTTGACATCATGTACATGTGCTTGTCTGCCCAAGGCATGAAGTGAAGCGCTTTGTTGATCTCACTGCTGATGAGACAAGTGATCTTTGGATCACAGCACAAAAGGTTGGTAGCCGGCTTGAGAGTTACCACAAAGCATCATCTCTCACATTTGCTATTCAAGTAAGAATTTTTAGACTAACTTTTTTATATTAGTGAACAATATTTCTGTGTTTGGCCTGGTTTTCAGACAGTTATTTTGCCCTTGAGGTCTGTTAATGATATTACTAATAACAAAGTGATCGCTTAATGCCTTATATTTGTCAGTCATTCTTGTTTATCGACACATAAAGCGTACATTGGTCATACTTCGAAACTTGCTCCAAGCTTTTAGGTTCCTTTTCACTTCCATATCACCCAGCAATTATGCTTTGAACTCGTTATTTGAGGCAGAGCAGGTTACCCACTTTTCGTGTGGTATTAAATGGCGACAATTTTACTTTGTGATGTTTGTTGGGAGAAGGTCCTTAATGCTGAAGTTCATATCTTTGAATCTGAAATTTTCGTTACTGCACATTGTAATGGTTTCATGTCCCCCGAAGCTAACTTTGTCCTCTTGTTGGAACCTTAGGATGGACCCGAAGCGGGACAGACTGTACCCCATGTTCATATTCATATCATCCCACGGAAAGGTGGCGACTTTGAGAAGAATGATGAGATTTATGATGCAGTAAGACTAGAACATCTGTTTCAGGTTTTATTAACACTTACTAATTCGTATATTTTAGCCTCAAGTATTTACTTTTTCTTTGTTCAATGCTATAGCTAGATGAAAAGGAGAAGGAATTAACGCAAAAGCTTGATTTAGACAAGGAAAGGAAGGACAAAAGCCTCGAGGAAATGGCACAAGAAGCCGAAGAGTACAAAAAGTTGTTTTAGAATGTAGATGTTCCGATATGCAGCACAATATGTAATTTTTTTCTCGCCGGATGTTTCCATTGTGTTTGGATGGTTTACTATAATTGTAGCTGGATTTGAGTCGGAGCTTGATAGTTGTAGCTGGATTAGAGTCCGAGCTTGATAGTTGTGTTAAGTTGTTAACGTCCGTCGGCTCCCGGTTTATACTTATTTGTTTATGTTATCTGACAACAGTTTCATCATACATTCCAAACAGATTCAACCACAAGTTTTCTAAATTTCAAAAATGTACCATTATAAAACATGCTTTGGGAGAAAATTTCAATTTAGATTGTAAAAAAAATGACGCGGGATTGATAGGTTCTGTTTCTCCAATGGTATGTTACTGACCAAGTTATGAGACAACAGTTTTAACAACCAAAGCTAAGGAAGAAATTTGCAGACGTGCGCCTAGCCACATTGTCAAAAAACCCAAGTCCAAAGACCTCTTTTCCGATGTTTTCGCATGTTCTGTTAGTTTAAAGTAGAATATTGCGTATATGGGTATTGGGCTGCGGTGGTTGGTTTCTGTGGGCCTGGGGTTCCGAAGTTTCTTCCTCAAAGAAATGGCGGGAGAAGTTGGGGATTTCTGACGCTATATATTATTATCTGCTTAATGAAAAGCAAAAAAACATTTCTCAAAACCCCTAAAAAAAGCTGCTAAAAACTCGAAAGTGCTTTTCTTTCCTCCAAAAAATCCTTGCCGACTGATCGTCTCAGCAGAAATGCAGTCCATTCTCAAGGTGAAGTACCTTATCTTCTTCTGCTTCTTGTTTTCTTTTCTTCATTTTTAGTCTTTTTTTTTTTTTTTAAATTTTAGTTTTGTTGAATTTTTGGGTGTAGAAATATTTTGGGTTTTCTTCGTTTCGACCGTACCAGAAGGAAGTGATTGAGAAAATCATAGAAGGAAACGACTCATTGATTGTGATGGCCACCGGAAGCGGCAAGTCGTTGTGGTAAAAGCTTCTTCCTTTCCTTTCTCTGTCGTTTGAGTAGGGTTTTAGAAGTGTTTGATTTACTGGGTTGTTTTTGTTGACAGCTATCAGGTCCCTCCGTTGGTTGTCGGAAAGACTGGTGTTGTTGTGAGCCCTCTTATATCCCTAATGCAAGATCAGGTGAACCAAAGATTGTTTCTTTTTGTTGGGTTGGTTTTTGTTTTTTGTTTTGGTTGAATAATGGTATATAATCATGTAATTTAATTCTGTTTCTGTTGAAGATTAGTAATCAGTAATTGCGTGTCGTTGGAAGTTAAATGAAATATTTGATGTTTGTTTAAAGGTAATGTCTTTGAAGCAACGCGGAATTAGAGCCGAGTTTATGGGAAGTAGCCAAACTGATTCCACTGTCCAGAGCAGAGCTGAAAGTGGTCAATTTGATATCTTGTACATGACCCCGGAAAAGGCATGTTTGGTTCCTTCAAGGTACATTGCTAGTTTTATTTGCCATATATCAGTTTCAAGTTTTCTGTTCTGTTGTGCACTTTGTGTGCTATATTACAATTACAAACATGAGCTCGGAGTTTGGACTAGTGAACTAGGACTACTGTGGTCATGGACGTACGATGATTGTAGATGAGAACTTTATATTATAGTGTCTGCCATTATCAAGATTTTGTTGGCATATGGAAGGAGTTTAGTGGATTTTTCGATGTCAGTATTATATTCTAGATTATTTATGTATCTCACAGAAATTGGTATCCTGACTCTATGCCTTTTTGCAGTTTCTGGTCCAATTTGCTAAGTGTTGGACTCTGTTTGTTTGCTGTTGATGAAGCACATTGCATATCGGAGTGGGGCCATGATTTCAGGTTACTGATATTTAGTGGTTCTTTCTAACGTAAATCGTAATGACTTGATTTCATAGTCTTTGTTTTTGAAATGTTGGGACTTTGGCCTGTGACATTTATTTTGGCATCATTCTCCAATTTCTGGCTAGAATGGGATTGAGATCAACAAAATCTCTAAAGCTTAAGTTCCTTTACTGATCCTACTTCAGTTTTAAAACAAAGTTGCCTAGTCTTTGGGTGGTGGTACTATGGTTAGTTTCTTGTTTTCCAAATTACTATTTAATGCATATTCGTCCACAAGTGTTTTTTCAGTCAGAGCTTCATGTGTCGATTTTGTTCCTTGTATATCTATTTCTCACCTTGTTTTATGCCTATAATTATCTTAATGTTACTTGTAATCACTAATCTTCATCATCAAAGCATTTCTCGTTGTGGACTTTACAGGGTAGAATACAAGAAACTAGACAAGTTACGTGGCCTTCTTGTTGATGTTCCATTTATTGCCTTAACTGCAACTGCTACTGAAAAGTATCT